AAACTATAAAAGATAGAATGGATCCAAAAGATGCATATGAAAGTCCGAGAAAATCGGAGTTAGGGATGTTGTCAAAGGTGGAGTTGGAGTTGTCTTGGGAGGAGTAATTAATTGGGAGATCATTTCATCAAAAAATCTAACCATTTGGATTCGATTCAGTTTAAAACTGGTTTCTTTTAATATCATTTCTACACTCTTAATGACCCGCATATAAAACTAACTAATTACGACTGTTATCGTTTTCTTTACTCGTTACAACAAATTTAAACAATTATTTTGTATAAATGATAAGTGAACGCTCCTATAAATACTCGAAAACGTTTAGTGCAAACAGAAAATTCACAAAATGTTCAAGTTCGCTGTATTCTTCATTTTATTTGCTGCGTCTCACGTGGTAAAATTGAACGTTTCGCTTTTAACTTGCAAATAATTTTACTTTGCATTTAGGTCGAAGGTCAGAATCCTGAGAACGTCGTCGGTAAACGCAACAACGAGTGGAATGAAATCATGGAAGATATTGAAAGTATCATTTTCTTATCTGACCAATGTATCAGTAACATCTCGTTGAGCGTCCGGGCAGTTTACGAGAAAGTTATGGAAAAGGCACTCATAACTATGAGTTGGGGAGCAAACTCGAGTTAATCGAAAGATTTATGATCTAAATAAATTTTATATGTGTGATGGTTAAATAAAATTTTAATTTTAGATGCAAACTGTTTTATTTCTTTATGTTAATTTCTATGAAATTTCTGTAATTTTTCTACAAAAATTCTTGTTTGTCTTGTCAATTTTTTTTGGAAATTTCTCAAACTAATTTCTGTAAAATTTCTTTTTCTAAATTTTTTTATAAAAATCTCTAAAATGTTTGAAAAATTCCAATAAATATAAGCAAAAGAATTAAATTTATTAAATGCTAAAAGAAATATGTTGGAAATTTCATTTTTCAAAAGCAAAATTTCATTAGGTTTCATGAATACTTAAATGGATTATAAACATTGGATTGTACGGTGTTGCCAGCGTTGCTGCAGGAGGAGCCAAAGGCATATAATTAAGTAGGTGGAGTCGATAATGTTGTCAGCGTTTGCTGTGGGAGGAGCTACAGTATTGTTTTCAGTGCTGACGCGGGAGGAGTTGACTTTGTTGTGGGAGGAGCCAAATGTTTACGTGGGTGGAGTTGAAGTTATTTGATTAAAAGTATATAGGAATATTGCAAAAAAACGAAATTATTAGATATTTTACATAACGGACAAAATAATAAAAAAAAAAATGTGTTTTATCTTTTGATGTAATCAAAGACTTGTAAGAAAACACATTGTATTCGATTCAGTTAAAAACTTTTTTTTTTCCAATATTCTTAATGGCTAAATATGACGCGTATTAAAATAATAATTGCGACTCTTATCGTTTGCTCGTTACCATAAATATTAGATAATTATTGTCTAAATCAATTTAGACAATAATTACCTAATATTTATGGACACCTAATAGATAAGACACGCTCCTATATATAAATAGTCGAAACAACAAAGGCTTAATTGAAACTAAAGTATCGTCATGTACAAGTTCACTATATTCTTGATTTTATTGGCTGTATCTCAGGTAAATATAATGATGATAAGGAGGTAAATTATTGTAAGTAATCTGATCAAATTTAGGCACAAAGTCGTATTATTGGCGATTTTGTCGAAAGCGTGAACGGTAGAGTCCAAGAGGTCGTGAATGAAGTCAAAAATGTCTTGGATGAATCTAGGAACGTTGTCAGCGAATACGACGGAGTACTAGGTGGAGTCGAGGGCGGACTCCGTGGAGTCGTTAACAGATTCGTGGGTGGAGTCATAGAAGGACTTGATGAAGTCGAGGACGGACTCGGTGGAGCCGTGAAAGGAGTCCTGGGCCTTGTCGGCGAAGTCGTGGATGGAGTCACAAAAGGACTCGATGGAGTCATAAAAAGACTCGGTGGAGTCATAAAAAGACTCGGTGGAGTCGTGAGCGCAGTCGGCGGATTCGTGGGTAAAGTCATAAAAAGACTGGATGAAGTCGTTGGGGGAGTCGTGAAACCAATTCTGGGCGCAGTCGGCCGATTCGTGGATGCAGTCATAAACGCATTCGGTGCAATCTTGAACCCAATTCTGGGCGTAGTCGGCCTAGACTTGGGTGGAGTCATAGACGCACTCGGTGTAATCTTGAACCCAATCCTGGGCGCAGTCAGCAGAGTCGTGGATGGAGTCACAAAAGCACTCGATGCAGTCATAAAAAGACTCGGTGAAATTTTGAAACCAATCCTGGACGCAGTCGGCGGAGTCGTGAGTGAAGTCATAATAGGAGTCGGTTTAATCCGGGACACAGTCAACACGTTCGTGGGTGGAGTCATAAACGTACTCCGTTCAGCCCTGGGCAAAGAATCATTTATATTTAGGCAATATGAAAAACAGTTGACAAACTTCACAATTTCCTCGTTAAATTAATGAAAGTGCTGAAGGAATTGGTGAAATGGTATTTTTAACAACAGCCAAAACAATATTATTATTATTCATTTACTTTAAGTTGGCAAAACATAAGTTGGCAACACATTCTTACACAATTTGATGTACGCAACGCACCGGAATTGAATAAACGAATGATACATCAACAATCAACAAATAACACCTATTATTTAACAATTGTCTCACTTACATGCATTACAATTTCCATGTTTTCATATTTGTCCGTTTTCAGCAGAACAATAAATTTTCAGGAACATTTCACGAACGAAATCCGCGGACGTCACTTGTCTCGATCAACAACAATTACCAACGATAAAATTTAAAAAATAACACAATCACATTGCAGCCTTTCACAAATTAAAAACAGACTAAAATTGAAAAAAAAAATATTAGTTGAAATTTAGATAAAACACATATTTATCTTGTAAAAATACATATTTGAGTAAATTTACTAAATTTCAAAAACAGTTATATTTTCAGTTATGGTTATTGTTGATGTTTGTTGGTTGGTAACATTTCGAACATTCATACGATGATGATGCGCTCCATCTGGTACGTGTAGCGAGAAGATCAGTTGACGAAGGCATCAAAACAAAAGTTTCACGTGCGATTTCGAGGTTAATTTAATGAAAGTGCTGAAGGAATTGGTGAAATGGTATTTTTTTATAACAGCCAAAACAATATTATTATTATTATTCATTTACTTTAAGTTGGCAAAACATAAGTTGGCAACACATTCTTACACAATTTGATGTACGCAACGCACCGGAATGAATAAACGAATGATACATCAACAATCAACAAATAACACCTATTATTTAACAATTTCTCACTTACATGCATTACAATTTCCATGTTTTCATATTTGTCCGTTTTCAGCAGGACAATAAATTTTCAGGAACATTTCACGAACGAAATCCGCGGACGTCACTTGTCTCGATCAACACAATTACCAACGATAAAATTTAAAAAATAACACAATCACATTGCAACCTTTCACAAATAAGACTGTAATAAAAACAGACTGAAATTGAAAAATTTAGAGCAAACACATATTTATCCTGTAATAATACATATTTGAGTAAATTTACTAAATTTCAAAAACATTTGTTATATTTTCAGTTATGGTTATTGTTGATGTTTGTTGGTTGGTAACATTTCGAAAATTTATACGATGATGATGCGCTCCATCTGGTACGTGTAGCGAGAAGATCAGTCAAAACAAAAGATTCACGTGCGATTTCGAGGTTAGTTTTAAGTTTTTAGTCTTAAGAGACGGACAGGATGGTTCTCAAGAAGAAGTTCAACCCGAATCGCGCGAGATTGGAGAAGCGCAAAAGGAAAGGAAAAGACGACGAAAATGATGGAGAGGTTAAGAAAGCGAAGAAAAATCACGATTTGAATTCGAAGCAGTTCCACGATATCACCGTGCTGCTGGAAACAATGAAGAAACGATTCCCGACGTTCAAAGAGAAAGGTATAGTCGTTAGTTAGAAAGTTGTTGTTTTGTTTTTATCTTTTGTTTTTTTGTAGAGGATAAGGCGAATGAAGCTTTCGCTGAGATGGAGGTGGACTTGAGTGTTTACTCGAACAACTTCCTCGGGAGTCAGGCATTGGAGATTATGATCCCGCTGCTGAGTGTGGAGAATCTGCAGAAATGTTTTGCTGTTTATCAATCGCAAGTGGGTGCATACTGCAATGAGAAATGCGGTGGGAAAACTCTGCAGACTGTTATTAAGGAGGCTGGGAAGAGGTCGTATTCCCATGCGAATGATGAGCACAAGATTGCCTGTCGAGAGGCTGTTCTCAGTTTCTCAAAGGCTATAATTAATTTGACCGAGAGCTTGATTACGAATACCTATGGGAGTCACACATTGAGATCGGTGCTGTTTGCTATGTCGCAGCTTAAAGATAGTAAGAAAGACGATCAGAAGATTTTGCCGGAATACGTGGAGATTTTGCAGAATTTCGGTACGAAACTCTTTGGTTTTAATAAGTTTAAATTCTATGCGTTCCACAAGATGGGCACGGAAACTGTTAAAGTGACAATGAAAGTGTTGGATCAGCTGAAGAGTGATCTGCTCAGGCAATATATTCAAACGATTCTCAAGCATCTGACGTTGAAGATGATCTTCGAGACGCCCGTCGCGACGCTCGTCTTGGAAACAGTTTTGTTGCTCAGCAACGCCGAGGAGCATGCTCAGGTTTACGAGACGTTCTTCAAAGGGAAACTGAGCAAGACGTTTTACGAGAGGAACGGCAGTCACATAGTGACGAGGATATTGGAGAATATTCGAGATAAGGAGACGTTCAAGGCTATTTATTCGGAGTTCAAGACGGAATTCAAGAAATTGGTGGCTGCGGATAAGTTGGCTCTGCTGGAGATATTGTGCAGGGAGTGCAAGAAGCAGGAGGTGAATCAGAAGGAGTTCATGAAGAGGATACGGAAGGCGTACACGTGCAGGACCGAGGATAAATTGGATAAGTTCGTGATCTGTTTGGCGACGAACACGCAGTTCAAGGAGCTGCAGGAGACGTACGATTTCCGCGCTTTCGATCTGAACATCCACGGAACTGTGATGATACAATTGCTGTGCGAGTATCAGGATCCGCAGATCGTCGTCAACGGATTCCTCGCTATGCCTTCTGAGCAACTGTTGGCGTTGTTCGCTAATAGGAAGGGTTGTTACATGGCCGATTCGTACTTCAAGAGCGAGACGATAGATCGCGAAGCGAAGAAACGAATGTTCAAGAAGTTCAGGGTATTTAACAACACGCTCTTCACATCCAAAAGAGATTAATAAATTTTTATTTGCTTTTTTTAGAATATGTTCAAGGATTTGCTGAAGGACGAGGGTGGCGCCAAAGGGTTCATCGCCATCTGGAATGGAGTGGATCAGAGCCAGAAGAGTGTCATCGCGAAGGAGCTGAAAGGTGACGAATCGTGGCTGGAGAATGATTTCGGTGCGAAGGTGGCTGAGAAGATCCATTACGAGCTGTACAAATCCGACAAGGCGGCGTGGAAAACGAAAATCGAGGAGAAACCTACCGTCAGTTTGTTGAAACTTTTTAAAAAGTAACGTTTCTAAAGAGAAAAAAACACACTTTTTATTTACACCATCAACAAAATTCCTTCAATTTTGTTATCGTTTAATTAAGACAAATATAATTATCATTTTTTTGTTGATTGAAATGAGTTTTTAAAAAATAATTTCACGATATTAATGAATATATGCAACCATACCATAGGTCGTGTGTTATCAGATGAATAATGTTAGTTATGTAACTTAGCGAAATACATCACCGAATTGTTGGTAACCGGACATTGTTCCTAATCAATTTTGGTTATATAATTAAATATATTAATCAACAATATATGCAACCAAACTTGAACATTAAAATTTAACAACAACAAAAATGTTATCCTATATGTATGTATAATTATATATATTTAATCAACTAAGATTCTAAAACATCCTTGACCAAATCCTTCTTGGTCTTCGCCGGTTTTCCGCAATTGATCTTCCACTCCTCCCTGTTCCGTTTGTACAGCAACAGATTAACCTTGAACGCAATGATTTTGCCGAACTGGCTGTTGCTCCAGGCGGCATCTTTGGAGCTCAACTCGTTCATGATGGTCGTCTTCCATTTATCCGAAGCCGCCTCCCAGAGAGCATCGAAGCTTCTCGATCCGTACTTGGACGAAGCTAACTGTTGATAACAACCCTACAAAACAAATTTTTATATAAAAAAAATAACAGTTATAATAATTATAATTCTCAATTTACCTGCATTTTCTGTATGAGTTTCTCCTTGTTCTTCTCACCGATCCATTTGCTTTTGAAGTAGGTGTCGATTATGTGACTGCCCTTGCTGTTGGAGAAGAGTCCTTGCAATTCGGTCGCGTCCATCGCGAAGAGCGCGTTCACCAATTTGATGGGTTTATTGAACTCGAGCATGTGCTGGAGGATGACTGTGCCGTGGATGTTGAGGATTTCCTTTTCCAAATCGTTGCCAGCGTCCGCGACGACGTCGTCGTACTTCTTGAACCTGGACATGCACATCACGAACTTGCTCTGCCTCTCGTTCGGTTCGTGGCAATCGAACGCCTTCATCATGGCGTTCATGTAAGGTCCCTGCTTCGCCCCCAGATTCTTGCAGGCCTTCCCCAGCGCCTGCAGTACAGCCGGATGTCCGGCCTCCAAGATCTCCTTGAACTTCTCATCCAGCTCGACGAATATCCCTTCTAAAACTTCTTTACCTTTCGCGAACTCCAGCAACCTCTGCACCGAATAATTCGTGTTCCTGTTCAACGCCAACTCGGCAATCTTATTCTCGAAGCATTTCTTGTGCAATTCACCGTACTCCTCCTCCGTGGAGTACTGAAGCGTCGCCTCCAGCAGCATCGTGCACGGCTTCGACACGAAAACCTGCTCCGCCACGAAACTCTCCTCGATGAACCTCTTCACGTACCGCCTCGCCAATTTCGGATTAACTTTGCTCTGAACTTTAAGCATCACCTGCAGCAACCCCGAAGGCAACTCCTCGTAAGCCAAATCTTTGAGATGGGGCCAAAGCACCAATCTTCCACCGAAATCGTTCAAAATCGCCGTATATTCCTCCGGCAATTCAATCTCCTCCTCAGTCGCTTCGCCAGTCTTCGGTACACCAGATAACGCGTACAACACCGCCCTCAAAGTGTGATTCCCGTACGTGTCTTTGATGTAATCCTCGAGATTGTTCAACAAAAACTTGCTATACTTAATCGAAAACTTCTTATACGTCTCTCCATCCTTATCACTGAAAGACCTCTTCGTCGACTCCATCAATAAAGCTTCAACAATGTGACTGGCAAAGCGATCGCTGCACAACCCCCTGAGACTCTCCCCGAAAGCCGTCAAGAATTTCTGCAGGATCTCATCGCTTGCAAACGGCATCAAAGTTTCTATCACCCTGCACCCAATCTGATTCGAGGAATAGTCAATTTCGTTTCCGTCCATCTCCATAAAAACATTATTCACAAAAACATCTGAAATTCGATCAACATTATTAACACAAACTCACACCTTTTGTTTTATTTATTTTGTTTTTTTGTTTAAAACGCCCACTTTAAATATCCAAGTCGCATACTTACTCTTATCTTCGTCTGTTTCAAAGCCAGCTTTGTAAGTTTCCAGAATCCTCACGAAGTATGCGTAAGTGTCCTCGTCCAGACGGTATCCCATACCGAAACGGCCTTGCTTTTGGAACTTCTTCGCCTTCTGGAAGAAGCTTTTCGGTCTCTTTCGTTTATTGTTACGCGGCGCTTGCCGTTCCCCCGTCTCCTCGCTCATAATTTCTTCGCGTTATCACCACAACAACAAACACTGCACCAATGACCGACACCTCTTCACGCAATAATAACAACGCGACATAACCTCACAAAACAAGCGTGTTTTTGTCCTGTCACATTCAGTTCCGCAACCATAGATAGATGTCGCTGTTTAGCAACAGATTTTTTTTTCTACCAATTATATAACATGTAATAATTGTTTTTTCTTAGGAATTCCACTAATTTCAATTATATTTCGTTTCGAAAGCAACAAAACAATTGATTTGTTACACTTACACAACGAATTTGTTAGTTATGCAACCAACGTTTCATGAAATTGCGTTTTTTCTTTCCAAAATTCTAAATTTGATGTACCAAATTTAGATAAATTAATACCAATAAAGGTCAGTTGTTGCGTTCATTCGAACGATTGTTACGCAATTACATGATTTAAATCAGAAATCAGTCGAGGAGGAAAAAAAAACAAAACTTTTATTTTTTTGACGTTTCAAAGTTAAATTACTTAATTGTTTCAAGGGTTACTTCGTAATTTTGACTCACGCAATTGTTGAACAGGTCGCCGCCTCCGCGATCTCTTCGCCTCTTTCGCGCGTTGCACAGCATGCTCTATTATTATTTTTTTCTCCAAAACTCTCACGTCACGTCACACCGGACATCCGGTTTCTGTAGCGATCGCACTTCCGGTTTATCTGTCTTTCACCGTGTCTGCAGGTTACGTTACGTTACGTTCTTATAGGGTGCGGATTGCGGCGCGTCTTTCGCTCACGGCTCGCCACATTCTCGCATTTCACCGACTGAAACTGACAACAAAATCGATTGCGCGCACTCACACTGCCGCCGCCGCCTCCCGAGCGCCGCCTCCATCACAACCACCGTCACTACACAACCGCCGCCGCCGCCTCCGGTTTTCAATTTTCGGACGCAATTTCGAAACTTTAATTTATTTCTTGATTAAATCCACTCCCCTCGTTCACCTTTCAATGGCATTCATAAAATTAACCGGTCGTTCGGAAACTAATTTCCTCCGGTTTTTTTTTTTTTGCAAAACTATTTCGCGCACGTTTATAAATTCTGTTTCCGATTCGAATTTAACAATTCAGACTTTGCATTCAATTTGCAATCGTTCAACCGAACTTAATTTATTAAATGTTCAATAGATGGAATTGAAAAAAAACATGCACAGATTTCATTAAATATTCATTTATTTCTCTCCTTCGTTCCATATTTTTTTTCTCTTCTTTCCTTCAAAAATTTCAAATAATAAACACTAAATAACATATTGCAATTAGATCGATAATTACAGGTTTCACAAAATTAGGCTACGATTTACAAATGAAAAACAACAACGAAAAAAAAACATACATATTTTACAGACAATCATTTTTGTTTTTTCTTCTGTTTCGTTTCGCTTTTTTCTTTTTTTTTCCGAAATCAAAGATACCCTCGATGCGTCCATTATATCATATAAGAAAAACAACTGAAAACGAAACAAACGAGTAAATTACAGTTACGAAACAATCTGTTATTATTGTATACACAAACAATGCTTTCGTCTTAAACATTACTGGTAGATGAAATTTGATTTGCGACCGGATTATGGAATGTGTAGATCTACGCCCGAACAATTAATTAATCCATTAAGTTCACTAGATTTATGTAGCATTAGTTGTGACCGAACCGCATCTAGTTTCAGTTTTTTTTTTTCATAAAATTTAAAAGTTTTGTTGCGCTTCGAAAAATCACAGTTTTCTTTTTTTTTTCATTTACGACATTTAATTGACAATGTACTATAACTACAAATTATAAATTCGCTTTTCAATGATAATTTTCTAGATGCGGCTTCGGCTTGGAAACAAATGAAAACAAGTTAGATTTAAACGAAAGTTAAACAATTTATTACTATTATTATTTAGTTCCTAATACGATAATTACTTTAGTAGTTTGAACGGTGGGACTAGGGGGCTCTGATTGTGTTGGAATCGTAAACGTCATCATTTTGACGTTCGATATATAGATGACGTTTGACACGTGTCAGATTCGTTGACGTTGACATCGGAAACGTCACGAGTTCAATAATGATGATAATATCAAGGTGATTGACTAATTAACGTTTCATATTGATCAATTTGTGATCAATTAATATTGAATTTGTTTCTTTCGGTTTCGGTAGAGGACGTTTAATATGTAAGATAATGAGGATGATGATCGAAACGGTGAGAATTCGTTAATTAAATCGTTAAGGGTGTGTGTTTTTTTTTTGTCTAGGTTGGTAAGTGTTTATTTCCTAGGTTTGCGTCGGGCGCCGTGTCACTTCTTGAACTTGACGGGATCGACGGGCGTCGTGGAGCGCAACGGACGAAGCTTCTCCTTGCTGCACACCTGGTGATGGTTTTCCCAGTCCTTGTGTTGGCAGAACGGGCCGCAATACCGGGCGACGCTGCAACCGGAACACGTCTCGTGCGCTTTCCTACCGCAGTTCCAACAGCACTGCCAACATAGAAATAATATAATCAAATTTGACGTTTTGAAGAATGTCATTAAAAAATTATACATTTTTTATGTTTATATAGAAAATGTCAAATTTGACATTTATAAAGAAAAAGTCAAATTTGACGTTTTGAAAAATGTCATTAAATGTCATTTTTGATGTTTATATAGAAAATGTCAAATTTGACATTTATAAAGAAAAAGTCAAATTTGACATTTATAAAGGTCAAATTTGACGTACGTTTTGCTGTGAAGGTTGTGGTTGCGAATTGGTCGTCGGTGATTGGCTGTTCTCGGCATCGCCGTGGTTTGAGCATCCCTCTTCGTGTTTCCGGGCGTCTGAAAGTTGGTATTTTGCAAAAAATGAAAAACAATGTTTGAAGAGAAAAGTGTCGATTGAACAACCTGCGACGATCTTCTCCATTTTGGCCCTCTCGGTGGCGACGAGTTCGTTCGCCTTGGATTCGGCCGCCGCGACTGCTTTCTGCAATTCGACGACTGCTTGTCTCTTCACGTCGTTGACGGCGTCTTCTGCACGTCGTCTGACCTCCGCGACGCGATCCTCCGTCTGTCGCACCGCCTGCAGCATTATCTCGTTCGCCGCCTTCTTCAGGTCGACGCCGACGTCCTGCTTACGCAACCACTCGTTGGTCAGATCCTGACTGTTGCGCTGCTGCAGGATGGTCAACGCTCGTTTCGTCTTCTCGACCATCGAGAGGATGCAGTTGAGCATCACGTGGATGTTGCGCCATTCCTCATCTCCACGCGTCGTCGCTACCGCCTCCTGGTGCTGGGGCGCCGGTCCTGGAGCGCCGTACTCGAAGAAATGTGAGCTGGGGACGGCAGCAGCGGTGTTCTGCACCAGGAGGTTCTGGAAATTGGCGCGTTTCGTCGGCGGATACGTATATTCAATGCCGCCTCCGTCGTGCTGCTGCTGCTGCTCCGACACGCTACTGTTCAAGACGAGTGCAAGAAAAATAAAAAATAAATTAGAACACACTTTAATTACGTTCTAGCACAGCAATATAAATATGATGAAAAGCAACCCCAACCTCTTCTCCACCCCCTATTCAGTAAATAGCTGTGTGTGTGTGAACGAGCGAGTTGTAAAATGTTCAAAAGTTCACGTCAGCGATGTAATTAAAAGGCGGTGTATGCAAGTGACGTGACGTGCTGCTGCTGTTGCTGCACCGCCGTCGCCGCCTCCGGTAGGAGAAGGAGCGATTTCGGTGCTCAAGTAAAAAGCTGTGCGCGAGCTGTTGCCGCCAGATGGCACACTCGACGGGTGGGGGTATGTATGCTAGGGGGTGGACTGCTGCTGCCCCCGGAAAGAAACCATTACTCATTTTAATAAAACGGTCGCTTGCAGACTATTGAATATAGTAGATCAAACAACCGCCTCCGAGGCCGCTGCCGCCGCCACCCCCAACTTTTCACCCTCCTCCCTTTAAACACACACCCACACACATATAAGAGAAGAAACGCGCTTTTGAATAACAAATAGAACCGTTATTTCCAACTTTGAATTCGTTTAAACACTCACCAATCGGATGTGCGCCTCTTGAAACCGCCTCCACCGCCGGTCATGATCGGCGCATCGTTCGGCAGAAAGATTTCCGATGGTTCTGCGGGCGAATGCGTCGAGTCCAGTATTAGGTGATCGTGCGTTCGCACGTACTGCAAAGCTGACTGAAATAATTAAAAAATAAAACATTATTAGTTCAAACGAAAATCATAGATGGCGTTTCAATGAAACATCACTAATTGACATGTTTTGGTTATGTGTCACTTTCATTGGGACGTTTATAAAATATTATTGCTTTACTTTTATTGACGTATTTTTTTGTTTTGTTTAAAAGTCGTCTTGGGGGGAGGGTCGTAAAAGCGGCGAAACACAAGAATACTAATAAAACGGTTAAAAAGTTTTCCCAATTATTCGCGATTTCCGCTTATTGGATTTTTTTGTTCTCCTTCGATTTTGTTCCCTTTCTTTTGTTCGTTTCACCAATCCATTTCCTCCACCTCCAGCAACGACACCCGACACCCTTATTGGGCCGCCAGTCGTCGTCGTCGGCGTCGCGACGCCGAAAGGCCAAAGATTTATTTGTCGAATTTGCATATCGCAACTACTCGTTACGTTACGCTCTTTATGGAAATCCGCGAGCGTTTTCCCATTTTCCCTTCCACCCAGTATTTCTCTCTTTTTATTTCTTTCTTTCTTTCTTTCATCCGATTTAACTTAAACTTTATGTTTATTAAGTTTATGTTGGTATATAGATTTCTTAATTCAATTCAAATTTGACATATGTGTCAATTGACGTTTGTCAACATGACAAACATGTGTCAAGTTGATTGACATTGATTGTTTGTTGATTTTTACCTGTTTACTGTTTCTGGCGAGGCCGTGGATTTCGCGTTGCAGGATGGGAAGGTGGGCGCGCAAGAAGGGAAGCACGAACGGTCTGAGCGGGAAATTCGTGACGTCCTGCAGCGAGTGGTGGAACTCTTCGATGCTCAAATTGGAACTCTGAAAATGTCAAGAAATGATTATTTTTTTTGTTGTTGTAGAAAGAGTTTTGATGTTGATGAAAGACTTACGACTAGGTTGAGGATGAGCGTGCGGACGCGTTCCCCGATGTCCGGGCCGATGTCGTTTCCGAATTGTGCGAGGGTGCTGAGGAACCGTTTGACTTTGACGAGGGGACGCGTCACGCTGCAGCTGGAGGCGGCCTGGTTGAACTGTTGCGTCGCGACGCCGCCGCCGTCCAGCGTGACGCTCAGCGGTGGCGGCGTCAGGCTATCCGAGGAGCCGTTCACGAGGACGGCGGCCGTCGTCGTCGCCGAGGTGGACGGTGGTGAGACGGTACCGCCGTTCTGTCTGGGCGACGTCGACTGCGTGGGGGACGCGGAACCTGGTGCTCCGCAGAGGCGGGCGCCCTCTGGAGAGTCCGGCGTCTTGCAGCGCTCCTTCAGCGGTGGCGCACCTAAAAAACAAACAAAACAACAGACGGCTATAGAAAACTAAATCCATAGTAATAACAACAACAACAACAACACGGAATTGGACGGAAATTAATCCGCCTGCTTTTGACGTTATTGTTAGATGGCGTCTCGCTCGGACGCGCTTTGTTTGAAAGAGACGGCTGCGGCGGAGGCGGCGGCCGTTACCGCGAGTGCACTTGACTCGTTTAATTCCAACATAGGCGGCGGCGGAGGC